ACATGAAAAATACTGAGAGCGCCATTCATTTTGACTCACCCGTTATAACTATGTCCGTCACTGTCTGAGTGGCAGACTGCCGATGAGTGTTGGTCCACTTTTCTCGGTATAGACTTCAGCACTTATTAAGAATCATGTTTCACAAAAATTAAACCATCATAGCTCTCTCAACATAATTGTTCCAATTTTCAAAAAGTCCCTTTTTGAAATGAGTAATATTCACTGAGGGGTTCCAAAGAGACATCTTCTTTGACTTTTCGCACGTATCTGTGAGAAAAAATGAAATGCCGTACTGCATCACGATAAATCCAATTCATGGTACTGAATATGTACTTGATTCGAATTAATTGCGGTCTAAACAGATAAATGAACTTTCATCCATATTTATACTTTCTGAGTCATGTCGATTAATTTTCTACAACACCGGTTATGTCTTTACTGTCCTTGGCAACTATTTACCTTTATAAATAGCTGCTTCGATCCAAATAACCCAAGGGACGAAAACTGGTGCAGCCGAAGCACAACATCTATCACAAGACGAATCCGAACACGACTCCGAGAGATGCAAGATCATACACATAACTAAAGAAGCTGATGCTAGTAGCAGGTGCACACATTTACATCCACGACTTGAATTTTGCAGTGAATCAGGAGTTTATGTGAATCCTAAATCAGCTAAAGCTACAGCAATTTGGTATTTTTATTCGCCAAAAAACAACCAATGGTATTGGACACCGTACAAAAATTTTGCAGTATGGATGTCGGTTTTCCAATTGACGGTAACAAAAGGATACTGGAAAGACCAGCAACCAGTGGCGCTCAATATTGAAATCATTAATTATCTAGCAACATATAATCCAATTCCACCACCTTCCATTGTTCGAGTTGCTTGCGCTATTGAAGAAAGACTATTAAAGTTTTAAAATGAACATGGACTATTTTATTACAATAAACGAATCCTAAAGCTATCTTCTGACGATCAAAGTTCGAAGGAATAATTGGCAATAATTAAAATCTGGATGCATCTATTAAAGATGAATACAGACTCAGCAAAGATAGGGTGTGGAGTCTGGATGTGGGTGTGAGGGGTGTGAGTGTAGGTAGGTGTGAAGAGTGTGGGTGTAGGATGTGGGCGCGGGTGAGAGGTGTGAGTGTAGGTAGGTGTGAAGAGTGTGGGTGCAGGTGGGTGTGAAGAGTGCGGGTGCGAGGGATGTGGGTGTGGGAGGATGTTGATGGGTGTGACTCTTGGTGTAGCTGTGAGTCAGGGTGTGTGGGTGTGAGTGAGTGTGAGCGTGGATGTTGATCCCTTCTCCAATCACATCCACACCCACCCACACCCACACCCACACCCACACCCACCCACCCACACCCACACCCACACCCACACCCACTCACCCATACCCACACTCACACCCACACCCACCCACACCCCACCACCCACACTCCACACTCGCACCCCACACACTCACATCCACACCACCCACACCCACACCCTGAGTATTCTCTAGAGGATCTCTGTGATGCGACTTATGCTAAAATACAAAACTGAAAATCTGAATTCAGCTGGAGCAAACAGTCTTCAAATTCGAAAATTTTAAACTAGAATTTCAGCAATTAAGACAATCGAGTTGTAATTCTTAGTTATTATAATCTTCTTTAGTCAACAGACTATATAAGATATTTGATTCGAGAGATTCTACAGCAACAACGTGCGTTATACTCTGTCGTGTAAGTTATTGAACGAGACCTTACTATTTTTCGTTAAATAAATTATTCATTAGAGACAACATCTCTAATTTTGAAATGTAATTGAAAACCGCAAGTTCTTATACAATAGAATA